AAGGAACCTCTCTAGATGTCCTGCTCATATGCAAGATGAAGCTTTGGTGGGACATGGAGGGCAGCGTCGCCTTGAGACGTGTTCTGGAAGCCCCAGCTGTGACAATGTTGCGACAAAGGCCATGGGCAGAAGGATTCATTGCCAGAAATTTGGTTCCAAACTGATTTGAGCTTCAAAACAGAACCCCACACCTTTTGTTCTGAGAATATGCTCCAAATTCCTTTATTTCCCTGAAAGTTGGACGAAACTGGAGCTTGGTGGAGGTAGCCGGTCAGGTGCTTGGGCATCTTGACCATTGAGCTCTGTCAGCTTTCACCCCATTCTTCCCCATGCAAACGCAGTGAAATTTTTGAGATTTCAAAGGTCTTGAACAAGTAAGCGATACTATGGAGAGTGTTCATGTAATTCATGGGAGTTTAAGCTCTTCTGTCGAGTTGGTAAATGAGCTAATGATGGCTTCAAAGTGTCATTTTGTCCCCTTCTCTGGGGACAAGCTCCGGTCATGGTTGCATTCCTCCTCATTTGCCTTCCTCTCCAAATCTTGTCTTGCATTTTAGATAAAATGAGCTGCAGCAGCGTTCCAACAGGGAAAGCTGTTTGTGAAATACAGGTATCGAGAGCTGGAGCTGCGCCGGAGAGCGAGACGTGACCCTGCGATTTCTCGGGGCGCCAGCGCGGGGAGAGCCTTTGGGAGTGCCACCGGTTCCGCCACGCGCTCGCGAAAAATCATCAGGGTAATTAGCCCGAGGTCTGAGCGCGGCGGCTCCTCTGAACCCTGGGGTTTTCTAGGAGCAGCAACATCTGGGGGTTGACATCTCAGAGGCGATCCCGCTCGGTCTCCGTGCCAAGGCGCATGTCCCGACACCGCTGCCGTGGGTGGTGCAGGGGGTGGTGAGGAAAAACACGTCCAGCACAGGCAGGCAGCCCCAGGACAAGTTGGGAGTCTTCCTCCCAGCGTTGTGGGAAAGGAAAACGCACCAGGGGTGGGAAAAAAAAAACATACCACACTGGGAAGTGAGCATCAATCCTAAATTAGCACCAAAGAACCGAGATGGGCTCGTTGTGGTGTGAGGTATGAGCCCGAGTGTGGATGCAAACAACCTTCCTCGCTTGCAGCAGTGGCTTATTAGCGGTGATATATCAGTGTCCTGGCGCTGTTTTTTCTTCCTGTCAATGGCAGCTTCTTATCAAGCAGACACTGCAGTGAGTTTCTGGGGAAATCGTCTAAAATTGATGTTCGTAAGCCGTTGCTGATCTTCCAAGGAGCATCTGTTGAGCTGAGTGTGGAGGTGAGACAGGAAAGCACTAGGTTCAGTCTTATTTATAACGTGGTGTTCAGTCTTATTTATAAGGCTAGGTTCTGTCTTATTTATAGGAGTGAAAAGCATAAGTTCTGGAAAGGTTTTAAATCTCAACTCCCAGGGAATGAGATGCTGGTCATCCCTGGTGGTACCTTCTTTTCTCTAGTCAGCTCTTTAGCACAATGATTTAAACCCCTGCGGCATCTCCAAGCCCTCTAACAGTAAATACAAGGAAAAATGGATTCATGCTTAAAAGGCGGAAAAAAAAATAACCTGTGTATACTTTTGCCTTTCAGACAGTGATACGGATCTAAACTGTCAGGCGTCTGTATGTTCTTAACTTTCAGATGGAAGACTGAGGGGTTTTTAAAGTTTTTTTTTAGGAAATAAAAGGTCAGGATCTCAGCTGGCACGGAGAGATTCAGCTTCAGAGTTTTCAAAAACACATTTGCACCTGAAAAAAGTTTTGGGCCTGGCCAAATCCCATGTGAAAAAGGAGAGGAGGAGGGCGGGCTGAGCCAGAAGCTACTCCTGGATATGTCTGTTGGATCCCATCTTCCACCTCTGCCACAAGCAGCGCTAGAAATGTCCTAAAGCCCCACATACACATCGCTTCCGCAGCGAAGCCTCATCACAGCTGCTGTGCTGTCAAACCCTGGCGATTAAATTACTTTTTCCATCCCGTCTTCCTCACATTCGACTTATTAACTTGACATTTCTTCTCAGTTATTTGCTCTTCTTCACGCCCTCCCGGTGTCACTTGTCATTCACTCTTTTTTTTGGGCAAGCCTGGCTGGCCGGAGGAACACGGGGCCGGGTGGTGCATGTAGGCATAGGTAACCTTTTAGGTCCCTCCACGTGGGCTCATCTTGACCCTCGCTTGGCGTGTTCCTCTTAAGTTTTTGCCAACGGGGCAGAAAACCTCCCTGGGGGGGTTTCCTTTTGACTTCACCTGGGTCGAGCATCCCCAAGGCTTCTCCAAGGGTTGCAAGCATGAGCCACTCATTGGGATTTTCTCGTGCTCTTCCAAGAAGGGTAAGGAGCATGATCTCCATGCCCTCAGGTCTTTGCTTTCTTGGCTTCCATCCGGGTCTTCTGCTCAGTAACACATCGAAACTACTTGGTTGTAGGAAAAAAACTCAGTGTCTGTTGGAAGTAATGAAGAAAAATCACAGTCGGGTAGCGGCGCGCTTCCTACTGCGGTCGGGGATGAAGAATTGGGACGAGCGGTGTTTTAAATAACCAAACGTGTCAGAAGGGCACAAGTAAATGATGAAAAGTAAAAAAAAAACAACCCACAAAACAAAAAAACGGGGCTCAGCTAAACTTTATGGTTGCCATACTTCATCTTAATTTTAGTGAAGGTGTTTGTTTGGAGGTGAGTAATGAACGCTCCTGGAGACCGGGACTGGCAGCAAGCGGCGGAGATGAAGCACCCTGCCCCGTAACGCATGGCTCTGCTCTTTTGGTTTCTTGAATAATAAAAAAAAAGAATATTTTTTTTCCTGCTGAAGACAAATACAGCGTGAAGATCCAAAGCAATTTTGCAAAGTGGGTAAAACCACCTCCCAGCGCACGCATCAAACACTTGCTCATCTCTCCGTGCCGTGGTAACGAAACTTGTGAGCCTTAGCTTGAAGCGCCACGTAAACCCCTCACTTTAATCCCAGTTTAAATACAATTTGTGAAGCGCTTGGAAAAAGCGGTGAGCTCTCGTAAACCACTCCTTGTTTTCAAGAAAGCGTGTTAAAGTCT